ATCTTAACTAGTTTTTAAGTTATCAAAGAAAATTTAAAAACTTTAAAATAATTTTGAAAAATAAAATCAAATTTTTTATGTTAAGTTTAACATGTGATTATTTCATGAAATGTATAGAAAATTTAATTTTAAATCGAAATATTTTTTCAGAAATGAATTACCTTGAATAATTTTTGAACGAGAGAAATATAAAAACATTTTGATAAATTTGGAAAAAAAAAAATCAAAGTATCAAGAGGAGTTATGCCAACTTCAACACGTGATTACGGCTAACTAAATGTACTGATAATATTTAAATTTCATGAAATTTATACCAAATTTAATTCTAAATCAAAATATTTTTTCAGAAATTAATTATCTCCAATAGTATTCGAGTAATCGAGAAAAACATAAAAAATTGTTACCAAATTTTGAAAAGTAAATGTTTGAAAAAAAGTGAAGAAATGTCCAAATTACCATCTTTATCTAAATCTGTTAATACTAATCTTGGACTAAAGAAATCTCGGCAGGTAATACATTAAATGATTAGACCTGAGTTTAAGAGTGGAAACAGTTCATGGTCATCGTCAAAAAGCCGAAGAAGTAAAATGAAAAAAAAAAGACACATAAAAGTGTGATCTGTCTGATGTGTGCTCAATTTTATTCTGGTTTTTATTATGCGTTACAAATATTACTAACGCTAGAGAAACAAGTGACAGAAACAAGTTATACTCTTGCAAGTGTATATTTAAACATAAAAAAAAACACTTTCCATTCAATGAAAATAAACGCCGCCTTGTTATAATGTGTGTAAACATATTATGAGAAAAAGATTATATCGTACCTAATATGAAACAAAGAATGTGAGTTTTTTTTTTGTTTGTTTGTGACAGTTTCACGCTTAAACCATTCACTCAATTTTCATAAATTTTGGTATAGAGGCAGAGTAGATCAAGGAAAATAAAATAAGCTATTTTTGTTTGCAAAAACATAGCGAGAAGAGTGTAAAATAGAGCATGAAAGTTTATAAAAAGATACTAACATAGACATAGTTATACTAGCTTTAACTCTTGGCTTCGCTCGCGAATATCTAAAATAATGAAGTTGCTTCCGTACGCGTCTGTAGTCACAGAAGAAGTAACAATGAAGTAGAATGGCGGGAAGTTTAAAATGGCTGAAAGTATAGTCTATGGAAGTATAATGTACAGTCTCCATAGTGTAGTCAATTGGATTTGATGTTGACGTAGCTGTCGGTAATACAGTGTGATAATACAGTGTGATGGTACTATAGTACTTAGGTTTGAGCCTCATTGCTGGAATGCTAGATGGCGTTAAAGTAGTCAAATAGTCAGATGCAGAGGTATTATTTGCTAAACAATTTCTTTATTTTATTTAAAAAATAATTTTTTTTATTAAATAAAAAGTAGCCTATGACCATTCGGGGGCCACTAAGAATATGTGTACAAATTTTCATGATGATCTGTTAAGTAGTTTTTGCGTGAAAGTGTAACAAACATCAGGACTTTCGCATTTATAATATTAGTAGGGACAATTTAAATCTAGAGGGCGCAAAATTGCAGTATTAGCATTTCTCTTCTTTTTAAATTAAAATTGACAATTTTATCACCAAATTTAGCACGCAATACGTACAAGAAACAAAGAAGTGATTAACGTGACTACATTTAATTAAATCAAAACCTAAAACCTATTTAATTCCTTAAGATAAACTTTACTAAACCAAAACTGCATTTTTTTAATTTATAGATGGCGCTGTTTCATATTACGTCAATTTTGTTCCATCATAACCTCCTCTAAATAAAATACTTGAATATAAAACTTTATCTAAACCAGGAAATACATGCTCATATCACCATTATAAAAGTTTCAGTTACGTTAGCATTTTTATTACTAGTTTCGATAAATCCAAATCTCTTAAGACGTGAATCATTAACGTTCATTATCGAATTATAAGACTAAGAATAACGGTGTACCGAATTATCCACACTATCCGCACACCTTCCGAAAAGAGTGTGTGAAAGTGTTTCTCAAAAAACATAAACAATAATTGCGCTAAATTTATGTAATAATAAAATAATTATATATAATTAATAACAATTGAATTGATTATTGTATGCTTTTTTCTAAATAGGTTAGGTGAAATTAAATTGAATATATAGGTTAAAAAAGTTGAGGTTACGTTCGGTGTTCGGTGTTTCGGATGCATTACATGACATGACATTACATTTAATTGCGAGAACAAGTGCGTATACGTTTTCATTATGTAATTACGTGTATTACGCTACGGATATTAATTGCGGATGGAAACACCGCAGAGGAAGAAAAAACGAAACCGAACCGGCAAGATTACGAGTAAATCAGTCGGACGTTGAGATGTTGAACGTTTAACATTCACTTAAACATTTTATATTGAGATTTTTTAACTGTAAGTTTAAAGAAAATTTATTCGGTTTAAAAATTTGAATTTTAAGCAAAAAAATTGTTATTTTAATTTAATTATCACTATAAATAAGACTATATATTTATAACTCTATTTATTTATAAAATTAGTAAATAATTGAAGTTTTTTGATATTTTTTAAAAATTGTCTTTAAACTTTACTTAAACACTCAGTATTAAACAGATGAAATGAAAATTATTGAGGACAAGATATAACCCAATATGCAGAACGAGTTTTACATCTTAGTTTATAATATTATTGTTATTATTAGTATTTAATTATTAATTTATGTTTTTATCTTTGTTTTTCTTAAGACTGAGTTTGTTACTTTAGTTTATCTTCTTAATACATACAAGATTCAAGGCTTTTGTATCAATTGAAGAAAGTACTTTTCCTTTCATTGATTCATTCATGCAAATTACGTAATATAACATGTAAATAATTAATGGAAAAGCAATCTAATTGTTAATTATACGCAATCAATATTCTTATCTTTTTATATTACTAATTTAAATATTTTAATAATTTTAAATATTTTTCTTTATAATCCCTACTAATATTATAAATGCGAAAGTCCTGATGTTTGTTACACTTTCACGCAAAAACTATTTAACCGATCATCATGAAAATTTGTACACATATTCTTAGTGGTCCCCGAATGGTTATAGGCTACTTTTTATTTGATAAAAAAATTGTTTTTTTAAATAAAATAAAGAAATTGTTTAGCCAATAATACCTCTGCATCTGGCTATTTGACTACTTTAACCCCATCTAGCATTCCAGCAATGAAGCTCAAACCTAAGTACTATAGTACCATCACACTGTATTATCACACTGTATTACCGACAGCTACGTCAACATCAAATCCAATTGACTACACTATGGAGACTGTACACTATACTTCCATAGACTATACTTTCAGCCATTTTAAACTTCCCGCCATTCTACTTCATTGTTACTTCTTCTGTGACTACAGACGCGTACGGAAGCAACTTCATTATTTTAGATATTCGCGAGCGAAGCCGCGGGTTAAAGCTAGTTTTATATAATTTATTAATTTATTAATTTATCTTTGTGTGTTTTGCAATTTAATACGTTTTTGATATCAGTATGTATATTTTGATGTTTCGCAAAATTTGTAAATATTGACGAAATGATTGATTGCACTATAGACTCAAACAACCTTCAACCCTTCGTATTTTTGACAGACATGGCACATGAAACTTCGATCCAAACAAATTTCTATCAAAATTTTGTAACTGACGCAAACCGTCAAATTTTATCTCAATATACATTTTTAAAATCATTGAGATGAGCAAAATACATAAAATGTAGTAAATACAAATTGTTATTGCAAATTAAATCGCAATAACCAACGTCGTAGACATTGATAACTACTTGCACTATTGGCATTTGGGCAATTCGTGTGAACTATTCAACTATATTTGAGCATTTATTGATAATAAGTAAACACGAGGCATATTTTTATTTCTCAGAACTGGACTGACATGTGTTTATCAAATAGCGAATGATCTTTATTGCAGAAATTCTAGTTTTTTATATAAATTCTCGAATATTAATTTATATTAAGAGTGGAAGTTTTGCTTATATTTGAATAAAAGTGCAATAATAAAATAATTAAAAATTTTATGATTGTTTTGCATATAAAACTCTTGTTATTTATAACAACAGAATTTAAAATTTAAATTGAAATAGTTTAAAACTGACGTAATAATTATTTTGGTAATGATAATATGGATTAAAGTTGATATTGATATGTTTTTTGAAAAATTAAATATTTAAGTAAGTATAGTATAGCAACCAAAATTAATAAATTGATATTATCATCCATAGACAGTTGCATTGTTGGTCATAAATCAAAGAAAAACATGAAACAAATTTGTTTGCTAATAATAAATTTCTATAAACAGAATTTTCAATAAAAATTTTTTGTTATGTAAGGAATCACGGTCTAAAAGTTGCAAAATTTAGTATATTTGGACTTTTTTGGTGATAACTCAAGAAATATGAAGGTTAGAACAATTTTGCCTTCAAATTTCAATTGCGAATTAAATTCTGCAATCATTAACATAAAAATATTTTCTATTTCGCTTATATTTTGTTTATTATTCACAAAATAAAAGCATAACATCAAACTTTAACAAATCGAGTTTTATTAATTTTTAAAAAAATGATCTAAGCACGTATTTAATACATAATATTATGAAGATTATGTAGAATTTACTGCCAAATATTTCTATAAAAAAATAATAATTTTTGATCAATGCGTTTAAAAGTTATTAAACAAAAACAACAAAAAACCATATTCAGAGCAACTTTAGACCGTTATTCCTAACATAATACATTTACACCACACTTTAAATAGAAAAAATACTGATATAATTTAACATTGAAATTATTTTTTATCATCACTAGAATACTTACTAATTGAAAGGTCACACTTAATTCATGATAACAATATCACGCTCAATTAAATACTTAATATTACACATAATTTACGGGTACATGACATTGAAATAAAAATAATATTGATAACACTTACGATTTCTAAAAATATTTAGAAGATCCAGCGGTGATCCACAAATATCCTCAATGATCTTATATTTATAATTAATCAGCAGTAAAATAAAATAAATTTAATCAAAATTAAAAGGCACACAAATTTTTAGATACTATTACGAGTAGTGATAAAGTCTGAACATCATCTTCTTGACCACTGAACACCGAATAATAACCGATTGTTATATATTACTATTTACTATGATTAGTTTATTATTGTCTCACAATTGTCACTATTGTCCTCTGAGATAATAAATTTTTACCAAGTCCAATCTTAAAAGTTCAATGAAACTTTAATTATTATTCCAAACACTTTTTTCAAAAAAAAAAAAAACACTTTTTTATTTTAATTATTTTAGGCACTTGAGATTATATTAAATTAAAAATAAATTTTTTAAACAAAATCTGTATTTGTTTGTTGTTGTTGTGGGTTTGGTGTCCGCACATGGTCTGCGTTGGCCGCGCGTCGGGCCGAAAAGTTTTCGGCGCGCGGTTCGGTGGTATTATATTATTTTTTCGATTCGCGCGGAGATTACGACGCGACTGCCGCGATTGCCGCGACTGCCGACAACAATATTGCAACATGCCATCGCCATCGCCAGCCAGCGAGCTGTACGCACTTATTCACAGGTTTCAATTATTATTTATCAATCGTGCGTCTATCGCCTGCATGTGTGTACGAGTAAGAGTAAGAGTTTATAAATTACAAGGTAGGTATCAAGTTCGTATTGATGCAGACGGAGAGAATGGAGTTTTTGTATGAGTTAAGTATTATAGCAATTATTATAGTGTTTTATATGAGATAGGTTAGTTATATTGAGTAGGGTAAAGGAAATTTATTATTTTATGTAATTTAATTGGAGTTTCAGGATGTTTTTTTGTTTTTTTTTTGCCAAAAAATTTAATTTATTTGTGATTTTTGTTTGAAATTCCTGAAAATTTCTTAAATGCACTTTAGCGCCATCTATAAGTGAAATATTAAACTATAACTAGTATTAAATCTTTATATCAATTTTCATCCCTTAATTTAACACCTTATAAATAACTATTTTTGATATTTTGATACTTATTATCTTATTCCTGACAAAAACTAATCAAAAAACGTAAAAATTATTAAAATTGGTTAAACCGATCTTGAGTTATAAGTAGTGTAACTAACATGATTTTTATTTTTAGGCATTTTCATGTTTTTTTTTTAAATTTTTTTAATATTTTTATTCCAAAAATTCGGTTTTTAAGTTATTTTCTATTTTTTTAATAAAAATTATTTTTATTATCAACAATTAAAATTTGATAATTAATTTTTTATTTATTTTTCTGTTTGATAACTCCTCTCACATTTAATTATAAATTTTAACTAAACTACAATCTCTTATCCAATTTCCAAAAATTTTATTTTTGTTTTTGATTCTATTTCTAATTTTAATATACAATTAACACACTTATATCTTGAATGTTACGTTAATCCGTTAATGTCCGATTACGATTGTTGCCTTTATTCAACATTTCTCTCGTGATTATCTTGATTATGTGATGATTTCCTTCTGCCTGCAATATTCACGGTTATGTCAACTGCCACACTCTCACTGCCCGAACCACCAGCCAGCCAGTGTACTCGTATGGTATAATTAATTAGTTTAATTATTTGTTCGCGAAGAAGTGGGTCAATTTTTAGCGATTACAACTCTTACAACTTACAACCGCCACACAAGTGCCTTCAACTATTGGATAACTTGAGTGTGTATTGAGGTTTAGTTTTTTTTCGCTGCGCGTTCTTCTTCCTACTTTAAAATCCTACTTTAAAATGGCGATGAAGACATCGCGAATGAATGAGGAATCGAAGAGCAAGTCATTGAATACTTTCGGTTACATCAGATGGTATTACAAGCGCTTTTTATTGCACAAAAATAATTAAATGTATGATAGAATTTTAAAAATATTGAGGGAAGAGAATTGTTGTGAAAAGTTTTAGAAATTATTGAATTACTCAAAACTATTGGAGATAGTATTATGATTCAAGTAAATAATTAAAGATAATAAAATTCCGCAAAAAACGGTTAAAATGTTGTGTTTTTATATTTAATAATTAAAAAGTTATAAACAATTTAATTTTTGATTGATAAAAATTACTAAAATTGATATTAATTTATTTGTAACTGGTGATAAAAAATCGATTACAATAAAATTTTTACACTTTCTGATGTATAATTTATTGCTAAATAAATATTTTAAAAATTTATGGTAAAAAGTTAATTAGTTTTCAAGATATTTAAATTTTAACAAAAATTTGCAATAAAATCACAAATAAATATAAAACTGATATTAAATTGTTAATAACTTGTTATAAAAAACCTATTTGCCTCAAACTTTGATAAAATTATATTAGGAACTTAATATTAAAGAGATTTTTTAAAAAATAAAACGAATATCTTTTTTATTTTCCAAAAAATCAACCAAAAACCTTTACTTTTCATTTTTTTTTAAAATTATGTTTTGATTGAAGTTAAAAATAAAAGTATTTAACACTGCCTAGTTAATATTTAATACTACTTAATACATAACAAACTTGAAAAGAAATAAGAGTGAGTAAGAGTGGGCCACACGCCGTAAGTGCAAGATTTCGTCTGATGGCCTAAATTTTTCACATTTAACTCAGACTTCGATTAAAACACAGGCTGGCAGACGGAGTGAATGCACGAGTGTTATGCGATTGAAATGAAACCGAATATGAATAATCGAAATGCACAAGCTGAAGCACAAGCAAAAGCAAAAGCGACAACATGGATTCTTAGAACATGGAAGAGACAAGAAGTGGGTTAATATTCAGAGATGACTTACACTTTTTGGACTTAAGACAGATTTAAGATTTAAGAAAGAAATGCCAGGTGATTCATGATTCTTTTGGTAATAATGTTTTATGTTATTCGATTTATATTTATTACTCTTGTATTTTGAACTCGCGACTTTGTCAGCATAACTAATAGTTATTGCTAATAACTAATATCTATAATAAGGGTTGAATTTTTTTATTAACTTTGATTCCTTATTTTCCACGTTTTGAGTTACATTTTGAATGAAATTGCGACAAAAATAAAACAAAAAATTAAGAAATTGGCTTTTCTCAGAAAGTTTAATCGCAAAATTAATTTCGGAACGCAGTTAGTTAAATAAATAAAAAATAAAATTGTCGTTTTTAATATTTCCTTGGTAATTTATTTATATTTCTCACATTTTGATCTTTTCTTGTTTTTCTACAAATACAAGAAGATAAAAACAAAAAAATTTTGATAATTTCTGCACCTATTTTAAAATAACGTTGATTTTAGTTTATTTTAATAAGAATTTAATAAACAATTCATCTTTTAACTATTTTTATTAAACTTTTATTAAGTTATTTTTTATTTATTAACAATTTATATTTATTTTGATTTGAAAATTAAAATGTATTTATTTATTGAGATATAAATGTATAGATCCGGTTAATATTAATTGAATATAAATATTGTTTCAGGAAATAAAAATTCAATTAAAGCTATCTCTAATAGAATCTCGCAATAAGCATGACAAATTTAATCTTTTCCAATACTTGTCAATGACAGATTTTTATTTAACTTCTATTTAATTCATAGTATTCATCGTCTATATGCAAAACGATCTGCAATGCGGAATTGATTAGCAAATATAATAAATTACCTCAATTCGAGCACTCGGCGACAACTTACACGGCGTCAATCATCTACCCAGAAACGACAACCGAGAAATAGAGATTATACGATTATACAGAAGTGCGTGGTTTCGATGACAGTTCAGGGTCAGTTTTTTTGATGAATTATTATGATATATTTACAGTCTTACCCTTTTACTTTTTTTGTTAATTTAAATTTTTGTTTATTTAATTGCATCAAACCACATAGAATTCTATTTCCTCATTTTGTTTTATTTGTTTTAACCGCAGGTGATATATTTCTGCGAATTTGCGTATTTGGGTTTTTGGCAAGAAAAATAGCAATTTTGGACGTGTCGTATTTATGGGTTATTAATTTTTAATTTAAATTCTTTGTAAAAGTGTTGTTTTATCATATATATCTTTTTATTAATTGGGTTTAGATTAAATATGGAAAATGGATTTTATTGCTTTTTAAATGTTACACTTCTGGTGTTAAATAAAAATCAAATTATTATGTTATTTATAGTAGAAAAAAGTATTTATTTCTTTTTTCTTTTTTTGATTTGCTGCCTTATATTATGTGTTATTTTTAATTTTTAAATAAGTTAAAAATATTTGTTTCTCCAATTTTTCACAAAAGAGACACAAAAAGTGGTACTTTAAATACGGATAGCCAAAGCCGTGACTAAAATACTTTAGTCATGAACTTTAGTCACGAGGTGGAGCTTGCGCCTGCGCATACGATTTATAAATAAATGACAAAAACACCTGTTTTAAACTTAAATTATTTGTTATATTCATAAATAGCAACATTATGCATGAACAAAAATCAGCAATTTGTAATTTTTCGTCTTTTGATATCCATAAAAACTCAATTAACGATAATAATCAAATAATTACTTACTCTCTTTTAGTTTTGCAGTTGGATATAACAACAATTTCCCGAACCACGCACAAATCGCACAAACGTAGAAATGAACTTTTATGTAGGTTTATTGTGCGTTAAATTATCTTTTCCTTGCGTTTATTATCATTATCATTACAATATGATTTTAATTAGTGCGGCAATAACAGCGCAAAAATCATCAACATCAACGCCCTAATTTTTTAAATGTTTTTATTGCCAAAATAAAAACCAAACAATTATATGAAACTTGATTTAGTTCCAGTTATTATCTATTTATTAATCAATAAAAATGTATTTATTTATTTGTTTCTTCTTATTTGGAAATATAAAGATTTTAATATTTTCAATGTACTTTTGTCATGTTAACAAAAAAAAACAACATTTAATAAACAATTTTTATAATATATTAAATATCAAATGGTTAAACTGGAGTTTTAGTCACGAGATTGATTGAGAGCGACCGTAGTGCGAGTTTAATCAATCAAGTGTTTAATAATGTTTAGCCACGTAACCCTCAGAATGTTTTTTCGATGTTAATTCACATATAAATAATTTGCATTAAATTTGTTTCATACCATAACATTTAACAATTAAATTTACTTAATATCTCACACCCTAAAAACACAATTTTTGGCAAATATCCATTGCATAAAAATTCACTTCCCATGTGAAACCATGTAAAGTATTGTTAAATTGTTCTGCACCACAACAGAACAATTATTTCCAAAAGATTACAGTATACCATTATTAATATTTAGTTAATATTGTTAGTGGAAGTTCCAACCGACCGACGTCAGTGGATCCTGATGTCTCAACCGTTTTACGGCTTTTGCTTCTGAACAGTCAGCAACAGTCGCAGTCGTAACGCGATTTGCAATACTCGCGATTATTATATTAATCAGTCAGAAAGTCTAGGGCAGTGTGTCTTAACCTTGGATTTGTGCAATAGCCGCATTTGAATAGATACACGCACACGCACACCGGAATTTCCAAAATATCTCGGTTCAAGAAGCAAGAATATCGCACGGTTTATTTTTAGTCATATTTGTCACTCGAAGGCAAATATTTGCGTAACTAATTAAACAAGAGTGAGAAATTTCACTTATTATATTATTTGAAGTAAATGTGCTGTAATGTAACTGGTCCTTGTTTCGAGTTTTTTTTTTAATTTTTGAAAAAATTGAAATCAATTTTTTTTTTGCCGGAAAAATTTTATAACAAAAATATTGACTTGTTTTCAAAACAAAATTAAATTTTAATTTTTTGAGTAGCACTTTTAGCAGAAATTGATTTCATTCCAAGCATAATATCTGGAAATTGCAAGATATTTGGTACTCAAAATAAAATTTAAATCAGAAAATTAAACTTTTGACATTTTTCACCACATTAAAAAAATATCAGAAAAAATTGCTTTTAATTTATTGGTTCATTTAATTTGATATCCTACTAAAACATTTATAACTTTAGTGGTAATATAATAGTTGTAAAGGTTGTAATACGTTATATAACCAAAGTTGAAGAGTTGAAGTAATAAATAATATAAAATTTCGTATAATTTAGAATTATGCTAGATATATGACAAAAATTCTTAAAAACTTGAAAAACAATATTTTATCCTCAAAAATATAGTAAAACATGCAATAACCTTACTTAAATAACCTAAAAGTCTGAAATTATATTTTATTCCTACAACTGCATTTAAAACAGTACTGCTGGCGCCCTCTATATGCAAGTAGAGTAAACAGAATGTTAATAAATAACACAATTTAGCACTATATGTACTAGAAATCAATCAATATAACAATTTTGCAGCCAATCCCTACTAATATTATAAATGCGAAAGTCCTGATGTTTGTTACACTTTCACGCAAAAACTACTTAACCGATCATCATGAAAATTTGTACACATATTCTTAGTGGTCCCCGAATGGTTATAGGCTACTTTTTATTTAATAAAAAAATTATTTTTTAAATAAAATAAAGAAATTGTTTAGCCTATAATACCTCTGCATCTGGCTATTTGACTACTTTAACGCCATCTAGCATTCCAGCAATGAAGCTCAAACCTAAGTACTATAGTACCATCACACTGTATTATCACACTGTATTACCGACAGCTACGTCAACATCAAATCCAATTGACTACACTATGAAGACTGTACACTATACTTCCATAGACTATACTTTCAGCCATTTTAAACTTCCCGCCATTCTACTTCATTGTTACTTCTTCTGTGACTACAGACGCATACGGAAGCAACTTCATTATTTTAGATATTCGCGAGTGAAGCTGCGGGTTAAAGCTATTAAGTTATATTTTTGCAACAGAAAGACGCAGATTCAAGCAATTTGTATAAAAAATTAAAATTGCTGTTTTTACCTATTACCTTGCAAATTTTTCATTATTTCTCAACTTTAGAACATTCCCTAAACTTCTACTGATATTTCAAAACCAAAATAAACCAAATCGGACCACTAGTTCTCGAGTTAAAGTGACACTAACTAACGTCAATTCATATTTTTTCTTATTTACGCTTTATTTATTATTTATCCACCCTTTCACTCCTCCAATATTTAACATCTCAATTAACATTGTTTTTACAATTCGCTTACACACACATTGCATTACTAAAAACTAAAATCAATCTTCGAATATCCAATTCCAACAAAAACATAAAAATAAAAAAGAGTAAGAAAACAGTACAGAAATAAGTCTAGAGTACGCATATCTCACTAATCTTAAGTACAAATGAGTAATATAATCGTCGAATGTCTACTTATCTCATTAAATTAAGTCACCATCAATTTGTCTTAAATATTTTGTCCTTAAAATAATACAGAGTAAAAGAATTGTTAATAATAAACACTAATTAAGTCACACTGAGCAAACAATTTGTTCTTAAGCTAAGCAAACGTATTAAAAAAAAAACCTAAATCATCATCAACCTAAATTTCAACAACCAAGTCTATAATACACAACAATTTACAAAATATTTGTTAATTCATTAATTACGCCTTAAATTAATAAGTATTATTGTCATTTTCTTGGTGATCAACTTCAATAATTCTAATAATATTGATTTTTGCGTTAAAATGGCAAAAATTACAACATGTTGACTTTGTCTTCATTGAGCTCATTGTCATTTGATAATATTTATATTTATATTATTATTATTATCAAATGATTGTGTTACTTGTGGAATGTTTTAAGAAATACTTTAATTAATTATTTATGTAAGATGTTGTTCTTAGTGTCGTGGCACATTGCCCATCTGCATGTCTTTGGTCTGCGCGGTGGGTGCAGGCGGTGTGGCGGCGGGGCCTACATGGCCGGCGGCGAGGTGCAGCGAACTGAAGCGTTTTGCGCCGCGCACCAGCCGCCACATGGCGATTAGTAGCAGCAGCGCACCTACGATAAGTAATACTCCGGTTAAGGAGGCGCGTGCGATTGGGGGCACGGCAGCGGCGAGGGCCATTAGACCTGTCATTTCGTCTGGTAATTCTTCAATACCCTGAATAATAAAAATGTGAAATTAGTAAATGTTTTTCTTAAATTTTTAAAAACGTTATTTTTTAGATAATTTTGTAGAATTTTTTTTTTGTGATTAATTTTGCTATCAAAATATCTATTTTTATTAAAAGTGTTTAGAAATGCCTATAACACACTTTAGCGCCATCTAGATTCGAATTATATAACTATAAACACGAATAAATCTTCATATCAATTTTTGACTTGAATTTTACAACTTTTCAGTAATATTTTTGAAACAAAAAGTAGTGTATTTGTTTTTCCTTGATCGAAACTCTCTTTATACCAAAATTTACCAAAATTGGTTAAGTGGTTTTGGCGTGAAAGCGTCACAAACAAACAAAAACACTTCTATTGGTTTTTTATATGCATTATTTTATGATTTTGTCAAAAATTCTACTTACTTCTTCAAACCAGATAATAGGAAAGATAATATCTGGGAAAGTGGCGACTTGTTTAATATCCACCACTTGACTGACTGCCAAATTAATTTGTAGTCTTGCTTTTGCTGATAATCCAGCTCCCATCAACTAAAAAATTAGAAGAAAGAAAACAATTATAGATTATTAGTTAAACATAATATTTAAAATATAATTACAGGTTGAACGTCCATATAAAATCCGTGTTTTTCTACATCAGGAGGTGAAATACCATCGAATGCATTCCTGTACATGTCGTCAGCGTATAAGAAATGTGGGAAGGATAGTAAAACAGGCGAATCTAAAAAAACACAATTAATGTTAAATAAATAAATATTTAAAAACTGACTGAAATAATGTTTTTTTTACTTCCACCGATAAAGGGCTAGTTTTTCTACGGTTTTTAACCACAAAAAATTGTACTTTACACACGGGCGACCAAGGCCGTGACTAAAGTACTTTAATTATGTTTAGTATTTTAATGAATTTTGAAGATTTAAAAAACAAAAGTTTTAATATAAAAATCTCTGCGTAAGCATCACGTGGCTAAACGTCATTAAACACTCCATTGATTAAACGTTTGCTAAGCTCACTCTCAATCAATCTCGTGACTAAAACTTCCGTTCAGCCACTTGATATTTAATATACTATAAAATTTATTACCGTATTGACAGAGTGACACATTGAAGAATCCAGATGGCGTGCATGGCGGACCGGAAGTGCAGAAACACTCATTGAATGGATTTTCTTCCGGAGTACCAAAGACATTCTTAGCTGGTGAGAAACGATAACCGGGAACGTTTCCTTTTACCATAACTTCTTTTTGATATCTAAACAAAAGTTAAAAAATAAAACATTAAAATTAAAAATAATCAAGAATTATAAAGAAATTAGCAGCAATACTTACGTCATTGGTAATATCCTGCACAAATCCTTATCGTATAGATACAGAGTAGTGTTCTTTGTGATGTGCGGTGGGAAAATAGATCCATCAGATCCTTGAATACTATTGCATGCTTCAGTAGAGTAATGCGGCAGTTTCTCGATCCCATTTACGTTGTGCACAAGACCAAACTTGGTTATGTCTGATGCTCCGGTGAACATTGTTACATTATCTTTGGACGTTCCATTTTTCTAAAAATGAAAATTCGTATTAACTCAATAAATAAATAAAATTAACAAAAATTGTTTAAATTTATTATTTGATTAAATATTTAAAAATAATAAATTATATTTTTTATTTCCATCTATAAAGCGCCAGTTTTTCCAGGGGTTTTAGACAAAAAAGAGGCACGGCCAAGCCGTGAGTAATATCCATTATATACGGGCATTATCTACCGGACGGAAACAAGACCGAATGAATTGCCATGCGACGTCAGTCAAACTCTCTCTTTCTTGCTTGCTACGCTCGCTTTCAATCAATCTCGTGGGTAAAGTCCCCATTTAGCCACTGGATACTTAATATACTACATTAATTTATTACTTACATTATACATAAGTCCAAATTCCTCATAAGGTAGCTTCTGTTCTTTGGGCACAACATCCTTAGCAAGCTTAAGTAATGGATCCTCATAACCCCACAACAACTGCCCAACAGAAACTTGCACAAACGGCTTAATTTTCAAAATATCCATAATAGACGCCATTGCAAGACGAAGGAAACGGGCTGCATGTTTCGACTGAGAAGTTGCACTCTAAAATATTCCAACAATATTAATTTAATTACTTAACTATTTACTTAACTTAATCTAACTCACAAGCATGGGAATATTTGGTACCACAACAATGTCATCTTCAGAACCGGAAGACAATTCTTCATTAAACGTGTAGATCTTTTCCTGGTTGAAAGTCAGAGTTCCGTTGTCATGAAACACGACATTTTTCTTCTCCCATTTTTCACTGTTAGTAAATAAGTAAATAAAATTATTTTACTCATAGCGTCAATGCGCATGCGCGGTTGACTTAATACTCACTCATATACAAATGGTCCCAGTTCATCTACGATTGGTTTCGATCCGTTTGTGAGGAATTCGTCTGCGTTTGTTACGTTGTAGATATACACCCTTATCTGCGGTGTAACCGGGGGTTTTCTCCACCATCCGAATGTTTGAGAACCTTCTTTTAATATCACTTGCTGAAATATTAAATAAATAAAAGAAATTAATTATGTAAATAGTGATGTTCAATGTGCAATGTTTAATGGTGAATAGTTTAATTGTTTACGCTACATGTTAATTAAATTGCGTGTTTTATTAAGTGGAAATTTAATTAATAGATTTCTAATGTTTATGGTGTAAAACTTTTATAAACGTGAGAGTTTTATAATAATACTAATGATGAGTGCTAGGACTAAGTGCACTTTAAAAACCACTTTTGTTAAATGGTTGTTTACGGCTTAAAAATGTAAAGTTTAAGTTTCAAGTGCAAATATCAAATTAATGTTATATAATATTAAATAATATTAAAATATGTTGTATTGTTACGTGACAGAAGAATGCAAGTAAATATTTGTTGCTATTTTTTACATTATTTATTGTATTAATAGTAATGATAAAAAATGAGAAATTCTTAGAATGCACTTTAACGCCATCTAAATTTGAATTATATAACTGTAATTATGATCAAATCATTATATCGATTTTCATCCCTTATTTATCACCCTTAAAATTATATTTTTGCTATGAAAAGTAGTCTATTTGCTTTTCCTATATCTCATTTATGGGTATACAAAAATTTATCATATTTTGTTGAGTGGTTTTAGCGTGAAAGTGTCACACATAAACAAAAAAAATAAAAATTCAAATAAAATCTATTAATTTTGTTTTGTAATAAATTTTAAAATAGCTATCCGAAAGTAGTAAATTATAAAATATCTGATAATTAATTATTCGTTAATAATTTTTATTATTTTTTATATTTTTTCCACAATTTATTCTTTTCTATTGCAAAACATCAAATAGAAATATTATAATTCATAATGTTGACACCGTAATTAAGATAAATTAGTTTAGAATGTCTTCAATTGTCTAAGTTGTCATTAACAGTCTAATTTATATAATTGTCCAAGATTGTAAGATGTAAAACTTAAGATTTATGAGAGCTAAGTGCCACGATTGTACGCCTGTGACAAATTGAACAATACGAAAATTTTTATGAAAACTCTCAGTGCATTATCGGTAATTACAGTAAGCGAACGAATGGACGCGTTTCACTTTCCTTTCTTTTATTCCATCAAAACATTTCTTACATTTCTTTCATTTCTTATGCATTATTCATAATAAATATAACAACAATGAATTTTATAATGTAATATTAAATTTATATCAAGTTTGAGTGGGTTTTTGTTTATAAATTTTATAAATTTGTGTACTTACCGAGTTAATGATTAAATTAAACCACGTAGGGAAGAATATGGCAACTAGAACACCTAAGATTAAACAAAACACTGCTATCACTGCTACCATCCCTGAAAAAAAATAAAAATAAAAATTTAATTTCATTGCAAAACATGTTACAATAAAATTTTTATTAAATGGTTTGAATGCCGAATGTATGCAATTTAAATAATAAAATGTGTTGTAAAATATGTTTTAAAATACCGTTACTTCAAGTTTACATATATTAAAATTAGCGATGGTATTTAATTTTGCTCTAGTTTTAAGTAAATTGAAACAGTTCTTCAGTTAACAAAAATTACCAAAATTAAAATATTAATTATTCATATATGAACTAACAAAACCTAATTTTAAGTAGAACAAACACATGTAATGGTACTACAACATAATTATTACGTACCTAGTATTTATATTTTAATGTTTTCTATATTAATTTATTAATGATTCTTAGTTTGATAAAAATAGTCAAGCTAATTGCAAGAAGCTAGTTTTTTGCATTTTTCAGCCAAACGACTAAATCCATCAAGAAAATATCTTAGACAAAAATTGTAGATCATAAAATTTTACATAAAATTGATCTTTATACTTTTTTATTTAAGAGTTACCGTTTATGACATATAGGAGTTTGAAAAATTAGTTTTCGTTATACGCAAAAAACTCCGCAGCCAAAACACATCATTAGAAACAACACATTTTTTCGAGAACGGTTTAAGTTATATATGTATTCTTTTTATACTTTAATAGTATAAGAGTTGTTCTTTACGATACAAATTCGGTGCTCCTCAAAATTTAGCCCAAAAGTACTTAAAAACGCTTGTAAAGTTGACCAATTTTTGCAATCTCAAATTTTACAAAAATGATAACTGTGATAAAATTGTTAATAACTTTGAATCAACTACATTTAAAACAAAAATTTCTTCATTAAAAGTTGTATAATTTATCCTTAAATAAATTTTTGATTTAACAATTAAAATATGTTTATTCATTTCCTTAAAAATATCCAAAAACTTGAAGCTATCAAAACTCCGCATACAAATATATCCCCTTTGCTTCCATATTTTCCAAAACTCAAACCGTACTGCATTCTTAATCCTTTGCGTAATTCTTTCTTTAATTTCACCATCATCACACCACGACGGCATCAATATCTAAGTACGTTTCGTACGCGGTTAGCTGGCTTTACCGTTTAGTTTCGTTTTATAGCTTTCACATTTTTCACTTGCGTAACTTTTAATTCTTTTTTTGGTGCGTTGCGACTGCGACGCAATACAATATACAATCCATACTCAATAAAACATTTCACGTTTTACGTTGCGAGTCGAAATCAAGTTTAATGTTTGACGCAACATTCTTTCCAACCAAGCAAAAGAAATCACATCAATGAGTTTTAATTGTTACATTCACTTGTTTCGACGATTCAAAAACACAAATCAAAAAAAGTGTTAAATTGTACTTCATTATCAACTTTATAAATGATAAAATTTCTTATCACTTTTACGTAATCTCAAAAAGAAAAGAAAATTTTAATTTTTTTTTCAAAAATTCTTCTTAATTATTTATTATTACAATAATTAACACTATTATCTTTAATATATAATCAGTTTAAGTGAAATGTACTTCCTACTTCCTCCAATCACCGCCTTACGTGATAATTACGTGCGTAATGCGCTTCTTTAATCAAGAAACAACTGAAATAATTAAAATAATAATTATATTAAGGACGGAAACGACGTAATAAATATTCGAATGAATAACCAAGATGATAAGCATGAATTTCGAGTTATTGCAGAGAGCAGTAGTCATCAGCGCATAATTGAATTGAAGTTTAAGATTACGTAATAATTACGGACGTAATGAGAAGAATAATTGAGAATATTTTGAGTCATCATCAAACAAATGATAAAAAACGTGCTGTCTAATGATGCAATTAAATTAAATTGAATTTTACTGTTTTTATGCAAGATTTATAAAGGTTTTAAAGTTTTTATGGTTTTAATTAAGTGAGTTTTGAGTGATTTTCATCTTGTTTGTTCATTTTTTGTTTAACCTTGAATTACAAGTAAATTATGAAAGATATTTTGGTCTAGTAAAAAGATTTTGAAACCTAATTAAATTATCTATAAAAGTGTGGTGAAACATTAAAGTTTTATATATTTATTTAAAAGTTATCATGTGTTAAACTTAATATTGCAATTTTACTAATTTTCAGATTATTCACTGTCACGCGCTCACTATTTCCTTAATATCCGACAAGATTTTATAAATATTAATTAAAACTAATAATATTCTTATTCTTGATAAAATGATCTACAATTTGATGTATAATACATTAAAATTGCACTAATTGTGTAAAAGTTATGCTATGTTAAAGTAATAGTAATATTAATTAAGCGAAGTTATCATCTGGTTTGTTCACTTTTTGTTAAACTTTAAATAACAACAAAAGCATATAAGATAACTTAGTCTACTAAAAATAGTTTTAAACTTAGTTAAATTATCTACAAAACTACACAAAAACATTAAAATTTTAATTACTTGTTTAAAATTTATCATGTGTTAAACTTCGTGCAGCAATTAAACGAACTTCACATGCATTATTCACTGTCACGCGTTCACTATTTCCTTAATATCTCACAAGCTTTTATAAATATTAATTAAAACTAAAAACATTCTTATTCTAGATAAAATTATCTACAATTTGATGTATAACACTTTCATATAGCACCAACAATGTAAAAGTTATGCGTCCATAAAAATGACTCATAAAAAAGGAAAATTTCCGATGAAAACAAATTAATACGTTTAACACAGTTCAATATTGATTCAGGATTCTACATTTAATATCACCTTGAATATTTAAACACATTCACATATAGAAATAAATCTAGTCATCACGCAAACACAAAGGCTTCACCTTTGTTATCTCCATCGATGAAACAATTGTCTTCGTGATTCTTTTCTGTAATTTGCGCACAATACCGCACGATCATGTAAATCATATAGAATAAGATTTTACTTGAAGTAAAAAATACATATGGATTTGTTTGAAGTCATTATGCATTCATTAAACGTTCATTCGTGCGTGCCATGCACATTCATACGAGTTTTGTACTTGTGCTTTGTTTCAAAACGTAAAATAAAACCGCAAAAAGATATAAATTCATGATTGTAACTTGGTGGCTGACTGAGTGACAAATTGTAACACATTTGCTGTTATTTATGAGAGCAATAGTATATACACAGTATATTACGACATGTTTTAAGTTTTATAACATTATTGGCGTGTGTTTAGAGAGTTTTAATGGTGAATTTCGAGAATAGACGTGATTAAACTTGAGTCTTGACATACAAATGTAAACTTGTTTGTTTTTAATTAATTGTGAGTAAAGTTATAAACATATTTGATTTATTTAAAAAGCAGTTGATTGTTAATGAAATTGTTTATATACTAACATATTTTAAATTTAAGTTTTATGTGTTTTTTAGTGTGTTATTGTTGTTTAAACTTGAAATTTGTTTTTGAAACACTGTTTTTTTATGTTTGCTAATTTAATATTTGTTAATAAATTAATTACAATCTTAAAAATAATTGAGCGTAGTCTAATAGTCAATTAAATTATCTATAAACTGCAGTTTTAGAATTTATCGTTATGCAATTAGTTTAAAAGTTATTTGCATTTAAAGTTGACGAATTTTTAGGTCTATAAATATATTTTCAATTTCATATAAATTAATTAATTACGTATCAATTTGAAAATAAATATTATTGGAAATTCTTTAATCCCTAATTTTTACATTAAGTTTAATTAGGTATTTGGTAATCTCTGAAAAAATTATTATCCAACATGAAAGTTTAATTTCTTAATTTTTTTTAAATTTTCTGTGCAATTCTAATAAAATAACCATTGTAAATTAATAAAGAACAAAACTGTGTAATTAATGTGATTTATATAAACAATTATTTTTTATTTATATACAGCAATAAATCGCTTACAAGACGAGAGAGTCAGAGAAAGTCCTTCTGGAATTACTGAAGCAGCTAATTGGCAATTTTACATCTTAATTAATTATATTATCAAAACAAAGGATTTATCTCCACAATAAATTAATTCATCCAGTACCAGAAAGTACCAGAAACTGTTAGTTAGTAGATATTGCTAATAATATTTACAGTATAATAGCGCTACTTTAATGTGGCGCAACCTAGTGATTTTGTTCTTTTAGTTTTTTATTAATTAAAAGAAAACTATAAGAGATATTAAAAGTATCTTTACAGAATATTATTCATAATTAAATTCTACATCAATTTAACATAATTCTTCTAAATTTGAATGTTTATATCAATTGTTATAAATAAATAAAATTTAAATGTGCGTATTTTTATTATTCGATTTTAAATCGTCAATAACTTTTGAATAAAAACATATTTTTAGAAAATTCTTTAATGAAACGTTTTATAATTTATCCCTATATAACGTAATAAAAAAATAATTAAAATAAAATGATTAGTTTTCAAGATATAACCAAAAAACAAAAATATTTCACCAAAATCCTTCTTCAACTTCAACCACATTGATTCAATAACTTTTTTTTAGATAAAATTCATCTAAATAACAAATAACAAGTTGACCTTTAAAATCAATTTCCAAAAAACCTGTTAATCAACGCGTATTTGTTTAGATTCATCAAATTAAGAATAAAAATCGCCTAAAAAATCATGATAAACGACCTAGAACACTAATTTATTCGATCAAAATAAATCATTACACTTTTTAACATTCTTTTCTTCAACTGCTCTTTTTTATATATAATTTATATGTCTATATCTAGACATTCTTTGAATGACCTTGATGTTTTATTAACAGCACATTCAATAAATACTAAAGAGCGAAAAAAGGAATTATAGTTAAAGAATGTGTTTGAGTTCTTTATCTCTTTAGCATTATCATTATACTCATACACGTGATGTTGGAAAGCATCCTTTATATAAAACCAGGATCCGACAGGTCATTAAAAACATTCTTGAATGGCTTCGGACTCGCTTTCGGCCTTGAAATATTGAATTTGTAAT